GTGCTGCCGTCCAACCCCACAGCCCGTGCTGCCGTCCAACCCCACAGCCCGTGCTGCTGTCCAACCCCGCAGCCCGTGCTGCCGTCCAACCCCACAGCCCTGCCAGCCCACAGCCCGTGCTGCCGTCCAACCCCACAGCCCATGCTGCCGTCCAACCCCGCAGCCCGTCCTGCCAGCCCGCAGCCCGTGCTGCCGTCCAACCCCGCAGCCCGTGCTGCGGCGCCAACCCTGCACTGCATCCTGCGGTTTGCAGTCCGTGACCCATTGCTCGGAGCCGGAAGGCCAGGCACCCGTGCTGGGGGTGCACTAACATCGCACGCACTCATTTACACGGGCATCGGGATGTGAGTGACGTTAGCCGTGTGCAGAAGAGACTGAGGGTCGGGGAGGCGTGGTAGGCCGTGGGTCTGGTGGCTGGGGGTGCGGGCCGGGGAGCGCACCCCAGATTTCCTTCTGCCACGCCTCACATCTCAGCGCCTCACATCTCAGCTCGCGGTTAGAGGATGCGAGAGCGGTGGGGCGGGGGATCCTCTGTGCGCCCCTCCCGGGCCCCACGCCGTCCCCAGGAGAGTCTCCTCAGCCTCCCACGGCCCGAGAAGGCTCTGGGAGGCTGGGCCTCGCCCGGGCTGAGCCTTTGTGGTCTCTGCACCCTCTCTGCTTGGACGGAGGGGAGGAGGGGAGGAGGAGGGGAGCGGGCGCTCTGACAGCCCCGCCCCGCCGCGTGACATCTTCAGACCTTCCGTCCCTGATGCAGATGGCCTGCAGGGCCCAGAGACCCCGCCCAGCCCGGGCCCCGGCCCCCCAGCTCCCCACAGCCAGGGCAGACCTGGCCCTCCTGAGGCTGCAGGTTTGCGGAGGCTTCCCTCTTCTTCGCTCCACCTGGGGCACAGTTCCATCTCCCAGATTAATCACGCACCTGACGGCAGGTGAGCGTTGGTCATCTCCTGTGTGATTATGCAGGAGGGGCTGTCACCTGCTCCCCCTCCCTTCCCCCTCGTCCCCCCCAGCAGGTGTGGGCTCTGATGACAGCCGTGCGCCCCCCAACCCCGCAAAGGAGGGGCCGAGGGAGGGGCAGAGGCGGGAGAGCAGCACGGCGGTCAGGTCCTGTAGTCCGAGCCCATGCGCTTCACGCCGGTCTGCACCGCGATCCTCCTGTGTGCGCTTCCCTGGTGCCTGGGATGAGGACTCGGCCGCACGCGGCCACGCCCAGGTCCCAGGGTCGGGATGGGGCCGGGGCTGCACGGCATGTCGCCCCGGCTGGCCTGGAACGGAGCCAGGCCCCCGCACGTCCCCTGCTTATCTTTGGTGGTGATTGTTTTGTCTTCGAGACCCGGAGGGCTGCGTGGAGCTGTGTGGAGCTGGCTGTCGGATAAGGAAGGAGCTAGGGAGGAGTGGGGACCGTGAGAACTCAGCTGAAGTGAAAGAAGACAAAACATGAGCCTAGCTCTGTGTGTGCACGCGCGTGTGTGTGCGTGTGTGTGCACATGCATATGTGTGTGCGTGTTTGTGCACGCGCGTGTGCATGTGTGTGCACACGTGTGTATGTATGTGCGTGTGTGTGCATGTGTGTGCACACATGCAGGAGGCAGGCGTGAGCTCAGAGCAGGAACTAAGTGGGCTTCCCAGGCTGTTTGGCTTGCTTTGGAGTGGATGGAGTGGAGGTTTGTGAGGCAGAGAGGGGGTGGGAGGGAGGGAGGGAGGGCGGGAGAGAGAGAGAGAGATTTCTAGGATCCACCCAGGAATTTATAATTAGGAGGGATTGAGATCTACAACTTTTTAATTAGTTTCCTTGTTTGATAAAATAGTTTGGGAGCCACATTTTAAGAAGCATTCGACATAAAACATAGTAATTAAGAACAGTAAGACAAAACATACTTCCCACATAATAAAGAAAAAACAATGAAAAAGAAAAAAAAAGAACATCTATGCTTTTTCCCCCTTTTTTGGCCAGTCCTGGGGCTTAAACTCAGGGCCTGGGTACTGCCCAGAGCTTCTCTGCTCAAGGCTAGCACTCTACCATTTGAGCCACAGTGCCACTTCCAGCTTTTTCTGTTTATGTGGTACTGAGGAATTGAACCCAGGATTTCATGCATGCTAGGCAAGCACTCTACCACTAAACCACATTCCCAGCCCTGACATCTTTTTTTTTTTTGGCTTGTCATGGGGCTTGATCTCTGGGCCTGGGCACTGTCACTAAGCTCTTCAGCTCAAGGCTAGTGCTCTACCACTTGAACCACAGCGCCACTGCCGGTTTCCTGGTGTTTACTGGAAATTAGTGTCTCATGAACTTTCCTGTCTAGGCTGGCTTTGAACTGTGATCCTCAGGTCTCAGCCTCCTGAATAGCTAGGATTATAATAGGCATAAGCCAACCAGTGCCGGGCCTATTCTTTTTGACATGACCACTATTAACAATTTGGCACCCAATCTTCCACAAGCAACAAAAAGTTGAGACCAGATCTCTGTTGCTCAGGCTAGTGTCAAATTCCTGGGCTCAAGTGGTCTTCCTAACTGCAGCCTCCTGAGTTGCTGGTTCTTTAAACACATACTAAAAAAAAAAATTTTTTTTTTTGGTCATGGGACTAGGTGCTGAGGCTCTTCAGCTCAAGGCTAGCACTCTACCCACCACTTGAGCTACAATGGCACTTCTGGTTTTTTGGTGGTTTATTGGAGATAAGAGTCTCATGGACTTTCCTGCCCAGGCTGGCTTTGAGCAGTGATCATCAGATCTCAGCCTTCTGACTAGCTAGGATTACAGGTGTGAGCGACCAGCGCCCGGATACAACATTTTTGTGGGGATGGGAAAACACATGTGCATATATGTGCACATATTCTCTTATTAAGAAATGCTTATGAGCAAGTGCAGTCATATTGACTGCATGTTATGTAAACACTGAACTACATAATTTAGGGGTAGGGATGGAAAGGAAAAATGAGAGAGAATACTAGAAGGGTTGACATTGATGCACTGTACTCATCAGAATTGTAATCTCTTTGTATAACCACACAATAACAATAATAATAAATGTTTATAGATAGCAACCAGCCACAATGAGACAGGACACCAAGTACTACTAAGTGCTTTATGTTTTAGTCTCTTTTATTCTTAGCAGCTATGAAGAAGCCTTTTCCAGATGAGTAAATGGAAGCAAGGGACATTTAAATAGTTTGCCCAAGTACCTCACAGGCAGTGAGCAGCAGTTCTATGCAGCATGGTACTCACTCACATGTCTTCTGCAACCCATTCATATATATATTTCATAAACAATTCTTCCTATCAACAGCACAGATTGTTTTAATGAATGAAATACACAGGTAGAACTTTAGAGCCAGATCCTGAAAATATTAATTTAACTCTCACAGCAACCCTTCAAAATAGCTACAAACCTTAAGTATGGACCGTCTTATATAACCAACCCTGATATTGGTTATAGTAAGATGTTCTGTCATTAAGAAAAGCAGTGTAATCAATTTCCTCACAACTGAACCCTGTGTCATTGGCTGGACGGCTTTGGGACTACTGGAAGTAACTTGCTGAGTTGGGAGTCTCTGCACAGGTGAGGCTCTTAAAACGTCCTACAGGATGCCTTCACTAGGGCTGTGTCCATTTTCACTCCAATCACTGAGAAAATCAGTTTCCTGGCACTGATATAGGCATGGGATATTTCCTGACACTGGGTATTTTGGCCCAAATCTCTTATTTGTAAAGACAATTTCTAAATTTTATTATAGGATGTATAATATTGTAGCTCACATAAAACTTTAGAACTGCAGGTATTGATGCTTAGAACATGGACAAGTATGTGAAAAGTGTTGAGAAACTCTCATATCCTGTACCGTACCTACTAACCAGCACTGGATCCCTTGAAAGGGAAGTTTTAAGAACTTGGATGGTATCATTCGGAGTTCATCTGTGGTAACTTCTTCACTGTTCCCATAATCCACAAAGTGCACTTTCACATTACCATTTGGTAAGATTTCCTTGATTAAAGCACGATACCAGTTGCCATCACCTAGATTTAACACAAAACTTATGATATGGGACATTTCTCTTCATTCACATATGAAATTTCTAACTTGAAAAAAAACACACCTTGATCAAAGTGAGCTAATAAATTTGTTCTCATCCTCAGATTATGCCTTTACATTTTCCTACAAAAACTCCTATACTGAGATTTTCCAACATCTACTTTGAGACTATCTCCAAAATCTTTATATACCATATAGTTTTATATCTGATAGGAAGATTTCACTCATTACCTATCCAATAAGCAAGATGTGAAAGTAAAATTAAGATGTAACCTTGAACACTTAAGTCAGTATTTCAAGATTTTGCAATACACTTAAAACTAATGACATTGTTTCACTTGTTTTTTGGTTAAAAAAGTCTAAAAATAAACAGTAGAACAATTCTTGTCATGAAACTCTTGTAAAGGTATTTCACCAACATTTTCAGTTTTCAATGGGAACATGTACAGGGTGATCAGAAGGAACAATGATCTTGCTTTGAACAATTCTTCTGTTTTTAAACTTAGTATTATCAAAAATTTGGGAAGGAAAAGCATTAAAACATACATTACATTAAAATTACATAAAGTGAAGGCAAAAATGTGGCATTTGGTGCTGCTTGTTATAAAAAAAAAGCACCTGGAAAGCACCTATCACTGAAGCATTCACTCAGGTCGTGGCTAGGAATTGTATGTAAGTATTGAGACGAACAGACACACTAGAAAAAAAAATGAAAATTGAATATCAAGAAGCAAAAGGGTCTAAAAATCACAGTGACACCAGCTGCATCTTACCTGCAAAAAAGGCACAGCAAGGTTGTCCTATTTCTGCCATAAAACCATTAGGCAACTTCTGCTGGCAATAATCTGCTAATGATTTGTTCAACTCTCTGAGGGTGCTTAAAGCTGAAAATTCAACACAGAGACAGCAGTATTAGTCATAAATACCAAAGCCCAACTGTCTTTTAACTTAAGATGTACTGATCACAACAGCAGAAAGTATGTTCTCAAGCCACTAAGCACACCAAATGCATTTCCATGCCAAAAAATCAATCAGCTCTTAAGTTGATGTGGTCAACACTTGCAATAAAGCCCAACCAATGACTTCCTGGGTGGAGAGACCCAACCATAGCATTGCCATCCGTGTGCCCACCCACTGTAGACTATGAATGAGGATTCCAGGCAGACAAGAAGCTTACACAGAGCTGTCCTGAGGGAGCAAATATAAACACTAGATCGACAGCACAGTTGATGGATGCTAAGGAAATTCAGAGAGCTCTGATGAAAGTTTCCTAGAGAAATCTGAAATATAATACATTTGATAGAAAGGAAGAAAGGGCTCTGAGACATGGTACAGAATTACAGAGTTGGACAGCCAAAAGTCACTTTGTGGGAAGCAGCTTGACCAAGTAGAGAAGTAGGAGGCCAAGGCCTTGCAGAGACAACAGAAAGACAAAGCCCACAATGAGCTTTAGCAAGTAAGGCAAAGGGATCTGAAGCACTGTTTATGAGAAAGACCAGGGACTGCCTCTTGAAATGTACCAAGGGCTCAGTCACAGACAGAGAAACTTAACCTCCATACTGGCAGAACAAAAAGCATGAGGACAGGTTGTTCGAAATACTGTGGCACAAACAATGCACTTGCACTTGGGGTGTGCTTGGCCCACCTGTGGAAGGACACTGCCTCGTGGAAGCACAGGCACACAGATCCTTTGACACGGTAACTGCAGCTGTGCTGTCCCAAGGACACATTATCAGAGTGAAAAGACAGAGCACAATGGCTGTTTTAGCAATGGAAGCTTGGAAACACTAATCCTCTATTTATCTGCACCACAGAATAGAGACTCAACAGCAATGTGGTATCCTGGGGATGGGGGAGAAGAGAGATGGGGGGGTGAGAGGGAGAGAGAGGGAGAGAGAGGGAGAGAGAGGGAGAGAGAGACTGAACAAAATCCAAATAGGTCTGGAGTTGGGTGACTAGCAATATATCACTGATGATTTTTTTGTATCATTTTCACTACAGAGGAAATGAGGTGAGGGGTATATAAGAATTCTGCACATCATCTCTGTAACTTCTCTGTGAACCTAAAAGTGCTCCAAAATAAAAGAAAATGTATTGAATAGAAAAATAGAGTTGAGTCTTGGTGCTTTTATGTCTGAAATTTTAGATTCTTGGTAGGCTGAGATCTGGAGGATTGAAATTTGAAGCAAACATAGGCAGAGAAGTACATAAGATTCCATCTCTGATTAATCAGCAAAAAGGAGGTCTGGAGGCATGACTCAAGTGGTAGAGCAGCAGAAAATGAAAATAAGAGAGGCACTGAGTTGAAAGCCCCAGCAAAGGGAGAAGAAATGAAGAAAATACTCCGAGTGGATATAAAAAATAAGTTTATAAAGAAATAAATAAGGTCATTTTATGACTTACAGTTACATAAACATGAACACATATTTATAAAAAGCATATGTATAGGGCTGGAAAGGTAGCTCAGTGGTAGAGTGCTGGCTTTGCATGCATGAGGCCCTGGGTTTGATTCCTCAGCACCATGTAAGCTGAAGAAGCTGGAATTGGCACTGTGGCTCAAGTGGTAGAGCTCTAGCCTTGAGCTGAAGAGCTAAGGGACAGTGCCCAGACCCAGAGTTCAGGCCCATCACCGACAAAAAAAAAAAAAAAGCATATGTACAGAGTTCCACTGAGGAATGGTGTTTAGAAAGTCAAGAAGTGGAAAATTTATTTTCCACTCTGTGCTTGACTTTAGCTTTCAAACTTTGTACAATATTCTTGTAAAAATCACTTTAAAAAATAAATTAAAAGGAAGCTTACAATTCTGAGCTTTATTTTACATGATATAGTGGCCCACCTGCCAACTTGGAGGTCAGACAAGGACTTGGTTACCTAGTTTAATGTCCTCACTAGACAAAAAAAAAACCTTTATCTAGACAAGTTAAAGTCAGTGATACTTACCAGTTTCACTAGAATGACTCAAGTGCTAAGAAAACCCAAGAGTTTGTGAGGCTATAGAGCTATGAGAAATCTCATAAGTGACAACGGTCACTTTACACATTGGCATTCACTGACTGAATCAGAAAACACGTACTCCTTTATGATCTAGTAATTTAATTCCTAGACTTAGACTTAATGGAAATGTGTAAATACCACACTTATATAGAGCTATTCATAGCAACCATCATTGTATACCTGCAAACTAGCAATGAGCCATGTGTTCAATGCTAGAAAAAGTGCCCTCCTACAATGGAACACAACATCAACAAGTTACAGATGCATATAGCAACAGTCTGGCAACATAAAAGATGTATCAACAAGGCCAAGGAAAGATCTATTGTATGATTCCCTTTCTATGACATCCCAAATCTGGGAACTGGGAAAACAAGTCCATGTTATCACTGCCCATGTGAGGCAGTGCTTGCTTTAGAAGGAGCATGGAGGGGGGAGGGTTCTAGAAGACATGGGGGACACTTCTGGGATACGGATGGTGTATTATATCCCAACATAAAGACTAGTTATCTGAATGTACTGATCTTTTTGATAATTCATAATGCTGTAGGCCTTCTAGAGCACTTATCTATATGGATGCAGTAAAAATAATTTAATAAATATCAATAAAGTCAATAACTTAATGTATAAAAATGAACCAGGAGACATTCTCTAAAGTTGAATACATTTTTAAACGAAGGTTGCTAATACAGAAATAATGGGTTCAGACAGAATGAAAGACAGTACAACCAAATCTTTCTTGGAAATACTAATATCTATGTTAACACTTTTTAAAAGAAAAATTTTAACACTTAGCAATAAAACTCATCTTAAGTTATTAATAAACATCTTAAGCTTTATGTTAATGTATAGGTAAGAAAAAAAGAAATAAATGAGAAAAGACAACTTACCATCCTCTTTAAGAACGTGACAATAGAACTCTCCAGGATTATACAGCATGCAGATCACAACATCTACCGTTTCATCGATGGCAAGCTCGACCCACGTCCACTCCAATACATCTACTTTTTCTTCTACTCTTAAGGGAGCTGTAGAAATAACAGACCATTTTGCAAACCAAATGGACAGAATATGGGGATGCTGTTGTAACAAGGTGGTTGCTAAGGAATCTGCTTTTGGTGAATTTGATCAAATTACTCGTGTATGTATGAAAAGATCATGATGAAACCCTTTTGTACAATAATACTTATATGCTACAGGTAATAAAATTTTTATATGCCAATCAAAAGGAAAGGGAAGCGGGAAGCCAGAAAGCTAGGACTTGATGGCTCATGCCTGTAATCCTTAGTTACTCAGGAAGCTGAGATCTGAAGATCATGGTTCAAAGCCAGTCCTGGAAAAAAAAAAAGCTCATGGGATTCTTTATCTTTAATCACAGAAAAAGCTGGAAGTGGCACTGTGGCTCAAGTAATACCATGCTAGCCTTGAGCAAAAAGGAGCTCAGGGGCAGTGCGTAGGTCCAGAGTTCATGCCCCAAGAAAATAAATTCCCACTGGTATTCTAGGGGATTTGACAAGAAAGCTGACCTTAGAAATCAGTCCCGGTGAACCATTAATACTTCACTCAATTTCAAGTTCACATTCTGATCAAAGTTTAGCTGTCAGTGTGACCCATAATACTTTCAAATTTTAAAAATGCTCTTTCCAAACATACTCAAATGCATGTAGATGATGGCTTGATTTTCAAGGTGACATGCACTCAGGTATGTATTCTTCCTGGAAGCAGGAGAACCCATACATTTATTATAGGACCATCTGGACTGCACAGGGGTTACGTGGTTGACAGTTTACTTACCACTGGCCTTCGTTGTATCACTAGTTTTCTCTGCCACCATCTCCTTATCTTCCATGGCAAACCCCGCATCTGTGAGAACTTTGGCCACGCTCACATTTGGTGTCACAGATTTATCTATAAGCTCCACCAGGGAGCTATTTTCCAGCCTGTCCACCACTTTTACCATAACCATTTTGTTCTGAACAATCTTTTTCATGAGTCCAATAGCTTCTGGAGTCCAAACTCCTAACAATGGCTTTACCCCTGACAAATAATTTTTAAAAGAATGTTAAAAATAATTCCTGAGATAAGTATTTTAACATTTAATTTCACTCCAGAAAGCTAAATCTATGGAAAAATACTGTAACCAAAAAGTCCTGCCTGAGTAGAAGCATTTTCTCAACATGAAAACCAAGCTAGAATTAATAGAGAGAAAGCCTATGATTAAGCTTCTGTGCTTCTGTTTGACACAAAATGTCCAAAAAGAAAATCTATAAACAGATCTGTTTCCTGGAAGGTTGTTGAGTTCTCAATGGGAGATGAGAATGCTCTAAAATGGACTGGGTGATAGCTGTATAACTCAGTAAATATTTACTAAAAATTATTCAATTGTATACCTCAAACAGTGAAGTTCACAGTGCATTAAAGCTATCAAGAACATTATTAACAAAAATATAACACAATCCAGGAAGATACTTGTCTCTTGCAATTCACTTACGCAAGTCTTGTAACACAAATGAACAATACGAGGAGGCCATATGTGAAAATCAAAAAACGTAAGATCATGCCTATGTCAGATCCTAAACTATAAAGAGCCAAGTGATCTATAACAACACATTCAGTCTCTGGATATGAAAGCAAATTGAAATGATTTAGTTTTTAGCTTATCAAAACAAGTCAAAGCCAAGAAATACAGAAATCTCTGTCTGGTGCACAAACGTGAAGAAATTCCCTCCCTCACACTTCTCTGGTGAGTATATAAACTTGTTCAAGCTTTTATAGAGGCCAAGGCTCAGTATGTAGCACCAATATGACAAGAAACACTTTCGTGGACATCCCATTCCACTTGGGGAAGTATAACCAAAAGAAGTATTCTGAAAGAGAACAATATTTTGGTGGTACAAGGGGGTTTAAACTCAGGGCCTTGACATTGTGAAGCAGGAACTCTACCATATGAACCATGTTCTCAGCCTTGAAATACAATTGTTCTTGGATACAATGCAAACTGTAGTTAAAATAACATGCTATCAGCAAATACCTGGAATAGGGAGCTGATAGCTCAGACCTATATCTTGGCTATTTAGGATACTGACATTTGAGGATCGGGGGTTTTTTGTATGTGTTTTGTTTTTTAAGGAGGATTTTGGTTGGAAGCCAGCTCAGGCAGGAAAGTCTGTGAGCCTCCTATTCCAATTAACAACCAGAAAACTGGAAGTGGCACTGTGTCTCAAAGTAGCAAAGTGGTAGCCTTGGGCAAAAGAACTCAGGACAAGTCCGTGGCTCATGCCTGTAATCCTAACAACTCAGGAAGCTGAGATCTAAGGATCGCGGTTCAAAGCCAGCCTGGGCAGAAAAGTCCATGAGACTCTTATCTCCACTAAACCACCAGAAAACCAGAAGTGGTGCTGTGGCTCCAGTGGTAGAGCACACTCACCTTGAGCTGAAGAGCATAGGGACAGCGCCCAAGCCCAAAGTTCAAAGCCCTACGACCAAAACAAAAAAACAAAAAGACAAAAAAACAAAAAACTTAGGACAGTGCCCAGGCCCTGAGTTCAAGCCTCATAACTGAAAACAACAACACAAAATAAATAAAAACTCTGGAAGTATCTTTCTGATACTGTCAACTAGTTAAAACAGACTAGCTCTGCATAAAAGACGCTGGAGGAAAGTTCTAGTCCTAGCAGGGCAAGTTACATGCACAGTAATTCCTACGTATATGATCAATAACGTCCTCTTCATTTAGACAACAAGTTTTATCTGCTTCATGTACATTTTAATAGTTCCATTTTTCATGTTAGTTTCTACTGTTCTAATAACAGAGGTTCACAAAGATTCCATACCAGCCAGAACACACTTTAGAGCTTGCATTGGCAGTTCCAACAACTTGGGAGTGATAGGACAAAGTCTTGTCAAACTAAGGATTTCAAAGTTTCCATAATCGACATATCCAACCAGGACAGACTCTTCAGACGCATAGGCCAAGATGGAGGCACGATACCACTGGTCATCCTCTGAAATAAGGAGACAATATCAAACAATGATCCAATGAAGAGTAAAACAAAATCTTTCCAAATGAGAGATGGTCAACTGTGGCGTTGGCTTTTAATCTAGAAGACCAAGCTCGACTCAATGATATAGGTTTACTCCACACTGCTAGTTTTGCTTATCTGAAGTCTTAATTCCCAAAGGGCAAAAATTCGCTTATTAATTATGTCATATGCTGCCATTAGGAATTTGCATGCCTTGTTTGTCCAGTAGTCAGCAAGCTCATTAGGACAGAGAACATGTCCTGATCGTGTAAATCTTCAAGGTCACGACAAGCAGAGCTTTCTAGAATACCCACAGTATAAGGAGTTCACCAGGCTTCCCATTGATATACTGGGGGCTGGTACCCATTGCTCATTTCTCCCGTTATGTGAAGCCACATGACTTCCTTTGGTAGAGAGTAACAGAGCTGGGCCACCACAGGGTAAAACAAGTGCAGCTACAAAGGCCTTACCATAATAGCTCTGGCTTCCAAACAAAACCCATGTAGGTATAAGCCTTGGAGGTTGCATATCCCATACTTTTGTAAACATAATTATTGGCACCAATTCTACAAGCACAAAAGGGATGCAAACAATACAATAAAAACCTCCTTTCTACTTCCAACCCCCTTGATAATCACAGACTATGATTTTACACATATCACAAAATGCTCCTTTGATCCAGTTTAATGGAATATATGTAAAAAGATAACTGTCATCAAATGTAGCCACTCAGGGAAAAACAGAGGTTTTGTTTCCATTGTTTGTTTTGTTTTTATTTTTATTGTAAATGAACGATCAGTGAAACTGTTTGCTTACCTGAGAACTGGGCACAACATATGTCACCAATGGTTGGATAAAAACCAGAACGTGGAGACACCTGACTACAGTACTCGCTAAGGGATGCCTGGAGTTCAGCAAGCATATCTGTAGATACAGATCACATGTTAAGTGAAAGGAATTTGTATCTATAACTTACCTTCAGCCTGGCCTGTGCAGTACACCACACTGAAGTATGTGATCATGACAGGACAAAGTAAGAAAATTAACTCACGACCGCTTTGCAGTTGTTGACAAAAGAAGTCCTCTGGTGTCTGAATGTGGGCCACTACCCCACAGAACTCGTTTCCCACACTCAGGGTGAGTGCCTTGGGGATCAGGGCATTTCTCTCTATCACAATTTTGTTTTCGGGTGCCATTTTTCCAATGTCTTCAGTATCACCTTACCAGAAAAGAGAAAAATAAGTCATTTTAGTTTCAGCAAAAAGTAAACCAAAACAAAACCCACTTATAAGCCTCGCTACTCAGAAGGTTGAGACCGAAGATACCATTTTTTATTTTTATTTATTTATTTTTGTCAGTTGTGGGGCTTGAACTCTGGGCTTGGGTGCTGTCCCTGCGCTCCTCAGCTCAAGGCGAGTGATCTACTGCTTGAGCCACAGCACCACTTCTGGTTTTCTAGTAGTTTATTGGAGATAAGAGTTCTCATGGAGTTTCCTGCCCAGGCTGGTTTTGAACCGAGATCCTCAGATCTCAGCCCCCTGAGTAGCTAGGATTACAGGCGTGAGATTCCGGCGCCTGGCTTTGAAGATCCCAGTTTAAAACCAGCCCAAGCACAAAAGTCCCCAAGACTCTTATCTCCAATTAACAGCAGAAATCCAGAAGTAGACATATGGCTCAAGTAGGAGAGTACCAGCTGGTACTAAGAAAAAGCTGAGCAAGAGTACAAAGCTCTAAGTTCAAGCCCCAGTACTAGCATGTTCACACATGCGCATGCATGCGTGTGCACATATACACACACAAGAGATGTTTATTTCAAAACTATGCATAATTTCATAATTTGGAAAGAGTTGGTATGAGTGTGTGTGGGCAAGGTCTCAGAGTCCACAATGTTTCTTCCTTCAAGTAATAATTTATTATAGCCTCCTTTCTACTATCCTATGATCCTGCAATAGGTAGGTATACATGGAGCAGAACTCATTCTACAGTAAGATGAGAAATCCCATTAGGAAACGATTATGATTACATAATGTTTAATTTAAAATGCAATAAATAGGATCAAGCAATGTTAAGTACCAAGTCAAGAAGAAAAAAGTCAGATTTAAGAGTCTGAGGAAAGAGGAGCTTCAAACACCATGAAAAAATAATTTAGAACATGAGAAAACTCTCTTGAAAGGAAAAAAGGCATGGTTTATAAAAACTCCACATTCTTAAGAAATGCATTTTTCTGACCAATACTTAAGAGAAACCATGACATGAACATATCAGAAATTATGGCCTTAAGGAATTAAGAGTAAGGTATCATTCAGATAGTGTCAACCACAGTTGATAATATTCTCAGAAATATGGGGAAAAATTATCTCAAGCATTAAAGAATTTTTAAAGGAAAAGATTCTCACCATGAGCTGAGGTACGTTCTCTAAAGACCAAAGGGAAACCATGACAGACCACAAAGGTAGAGGAAATCTGCTATCTAGAATTGACCTCTTTCAGTCCAAGGGATTCTCAACATTCTGTCAGAAATTCTACTGAAATGGGTAACTGGCCCCAAACACTAGCCAAATTAAATTCAATGATCTCTAATGATATAAAGTAAAATTCAAAACCTTTTTTAATATACTCAGAAAAAGTAAAATATAAATCAAAATGTAAATAAGGGAGGAGATAAGAGAAAAACTCAACAGCAAGAAAAATGAACCAGCAGTCTGTTGTATCACAGAAAAGGACAGTTTGGTAGTGAGATCATTCAAAAGGCTCTAGATTCTGGTTCTGTATTTTCCTGTCTTAAGGTGACCCTCTGTGCCTGTAAGCGTCTGCTTCTTCACATGAAAAGGTCTAGTGAGTGATCTCAAAGACCTCTTTTATTCGATATATAAATATATGTATGCAGATATGTATATATGTATACAGATATGTAGATGTGCGTATATAAACACACACATACATATATGCGTACAAATAAAAGTATACATAATATATATCCATTATAGCAATATAATATACTTTACATATCCATATATAATGGAGAAAAGCACAGGTCTGAGTCTGTGTGAGATCAAGGCTTTCCTATTCTTTTCCTCACTTTACTTCCCACAGTTGCACACTCTTATGTTATGGCTCCTGATTTATCACTACATTATTTTTTCTTCACCAACACTTGTGTTTTCAACCATCATTCTGTTGAATTCTAACTGGCTAAAAGCTACTGAGATTTTTTTCAACAGAACTGTTACACAAAGATTTTCACTTCAAGGATATCATACAGGTAAGCAAAAACCAGAGTAGTATAGACAGAAGATAAAAGGCAACATCAGAAGATTGTTTCAACTGTCCATGAAGCATGTCTCAAATAATAGCAGAGGAAGAGAGGGATGGAGGGAGAAAGGAAAGCAAGAAGAAACAATAAGGGAGGGAAAGAAGGAAAGAAATAGCTATTATAACAAGTCAATAAAGACTTGTTAACCAACTAGAACAAAGGACAGGAGGTAAGAAATAAGGAGAGTATTCAGAATGAGGCATGTCTGTTGATATGATAGGCTGTCCAATCATAGATTAATTTCTGGCCAAAGACAAAGAATTATGTCTGCAACTGAAATAAGTGGTAAAGGAGAAAACAGACTGTAAAAATGACACATACAACTAGGAAATGAAAAAAAAATAAATGCTGATGGAAAAATTTCTTGGTTCTCTGATCAAATAAACACACACAAGAAGTTGAAAAAAATATTTCTGTCCTAATAGAACAGGAGCTTAGAGCTTTATTATTCCTAAGCAAGGAAGAAAATCGAATTTAAAAAGGATATGTGAACTAAATCCCTAAATCCCTCAATCTGAAATCACAACATTTAGTAGTTTATAATCACTAATAATTATTTGGTGAGAATCTGGAAAAACAAAAGGAAAATAGGCAGGCCAGAATGAGATTAGTTATAATATATGACTAAATGAAAAATACCATCTTTCTTATAAAGTTTATAAAATAGCTATGATGATTATTATTTTTTGACGGTATGGGGCCCGAACTCTGGACCTGGGCGCTGTCCCTCAGCTCTTCAGCTCAAGGCTAGTGCCCTACCACTTGAGCCACAGCCCCTCTTCTGGATTTATCTGCTTATGTGGTGCTGAGGAATCGAACCCAGGGACTCATGATGCAAGGCAAGCACTCTACCACTGAGCCAACTTCCCAGCCCCAAAATAGCTATGATTATTACTAGTTAGTTTTGACAATGTCACAGTCATGCCTTTTTGGGTTTAACAGGAAAGATAGTCTTCAGTAACTGAAGTCAGTACACTGCTCACCCTGATCTGCACTCTGCTTCTTAGAATCCTGTTCTTTGGGTTTCAAACCGTATCCCATTTCTACAAGCACATGGTCTAGGAGTTTTCCTATAAAGTAAAGGAGAAAATACATGTCTAATGTCTAATAAGATACAAGACTATCAAGAAATAAAGGTTATCACATGTCATAAGAGATTATAACCAACAACACAGAGATCAAGATAAATACATATATGTGTATGTCTACACATATATAATTTAGTAAGGTCCAGCTTAATAAATTGTTGCAAAATTCTCAGACACCTGACAGGGAATTTACTGCAAAGATTTCTCTTCAAAATTCTGAGTAATATCAAAGATTTAGTTCTCATATCCCATGCACACTGAAGAATAAACATCGACTCTGAGAAGAAATCCGGTTAAGACACAGGACTTTTTCTCACACTGACAATAAGGCTGAAACAAGGGTTAGTAACCATTAATAAGAACGTCAAAGCTCCCTGAAAGAATATCCAGAAGCTGGAGTCATAATGTGAAATATACATAGCAAAGAAACAAAAGATTTTTACACTAAATTTCAACAGATTAACTGCATTTTCTACTAAGTCACCCATGATTGCCTTTATGGAACTTTTATGTCTTTTAAAAGTAGAGAGATAATACCTTGAAAAAGAGAATTCACAAGTACATTGTAAGAATAACCTTTTACACCAAAATGAAGCTACTACAGAAGGAGAGGGTTCCAGGACAACTTCATTTTCAAAATTTAAACACTACATACTAACAGAAGATGGTTCTCTAAGAATTGCTTAAAGAAAAGACATTTATGATAAGGATGGATTCATGGAAAATCTCAAGGACAGTCTCTCAATAAAGGTGCAGACATCACAGGTAGATATTTTAATGGCTAGATTGAAAGGAAATAATACAGCCAACCCATGTGAAGTACAGATCTGGACTCTTAAACCATTATGTCCCAGGAACACATGCTCCCTTTCCAACAACAATCTCTGAATGACTCCAGAGAGCAGTGTAGTTGGCCTCACCTTTATGTTTTGTTTTTTCTGTTCTTCTGAGTAACTGGTGGGACGAAATAATCAATAACTTAAATTAAAAAAAAAAGAAACAAAAGACCCAAGTCTTACCTGAACTTTGCAGCATAACATCTACTGCATAGGTAAGCACATCCTCGTTTAAGACATCAATAATCTTTACAGAACAGTACTGGTCCATTAACAGTGATTTAACAGTTTTGATACAATCATTGCTCCAATCCTCCTCTGCTGGTACAATGCCAGCCACAAAGCACTTTATGGCCTGAAAGATTTTTGTGCAAGTTACTTGTAATAATTGGTATTTCAAAATGAATTTTTCTTTTTTTGGGGGGGGGTCCGGTCATGAGGCCTGAACTCTGGGCCTGGGCACTGTCCCTCAGCTCTTCAGCTCAAGGCTAGCACTCTACCACTTGAGCCACAGCGCCACTTCCGGCTTTTTTTCGTTTTTGCTTGTGTGGTGCTGGGGAATCGAACCCAGGGCCTCATGCATGCAAGGCAAGCACTCTACTACTGAGCCACCTTCCCAGCCCTTCAAAATCAATTTTTCTAATTAGCTATTTGAAGTATTTTTTAATACAACATATTCACACTAAAAGGCTAGGGAAAGTCTTCAAGGCCTAACCAGATTAACAAAGAAGTCTGATTAGATTCATCTATCTTGGCACTTATCTATTGACAATACTATTTTCTGGTACTTGAAGTTCAAGAAAATCATGGGAAGATAAAAAATACACTTCACTTATACATGAATCCTGATCACTTTCCAATAATGTAATAAATACAGAAAAATGTCTTTAAAGAGCAGCGTGATAAGGTGTACCTGTGTTTCTCTTCTCAAGCACTACTTGACTAAAAGTAGTAACAAGTATAATACTAACAAGTGTAATAGCATGGCAGAATAGAAGGAAACATTGTGTCCATAAAAATATTAAAAGCAAAAATGGGAGAAAATGAGAGAAGAGGTGACACTGTTCAAAAAGAAATGTGCTCAAAATATGACTTATGAAACTGTAATACCTTTGTACATCACCTTTACAATAAAAATTTTAAATATTAAAAGCAGCTCTTGCTAACACAAAAGGAATCAAGAAACTAAAGGACTTACACAGGGTGGAAACAAGTCCATGTTTCTGCACAATGGATGAATTCTGTCTATTGGAATTATTTCATCATTTCCATAATCAATATACAAGACTTGTGCTTTCTTCTGTAATGCATCTACATCTTGGATTATTGCTCTGTTCCAGGTCTAGAAGGGAAAGAAATACGGTAGTAAGGGGAAACAAAGGAGGAGGCTACAATGCTTAAGAAATGTACTCATTATCTTGCCCATGTAATTGTAACCCCTCTGTACAGTTTTTTCACAATAAAAAAAAGAAATACGGTAGTATTCTGCTTGCCAAAGGCATTTCACAATCTTAGTTTAAGAAGCCCTCAATTGATCTACAAACCAGGATCCTATTTTGTTCAGAACTGAATTTAAAAGATTCAATTTTTAAAAAATCTTGCTAATAAATCCCTGATACTTTCTAGTTCAGATATCTTGATATGAAAATTCTCTTGCACATTAACACCTAGGTTGCAGAAATAAGTAAATACAAAATCAAAGTCCAGCAAACAGTCTACAACCAGATACTTAGAAACCAATAAATAGAGATGGAGACAATTAGAGGAGGGATAAAGTAAAGTGAACACAGCCTGGAATTCTGAGAAGAGTGATCTGTCTTCCCATAAGCCAACTTATGCATTATTAAAAACTCTGGTGTTGACTAGTTGAAATGACCAAAGGAAGTTAAAACATTTTATTAAATAATTCATTTAATCAGGGTTACCTGATCAACAGTGTACTTAGCAACACAAACTTCTCCTTTAACAGGCATGTAATCTTCTTCATGCACCATATTTGCATACATTTCTTTCAAGCTTGCAGAAAGCTGGTTCATGTATTCTAAAACTTCCAAAGAATATAACTGGATATAGAAGTTACCAGGGTGCTTGAATTCTGTAACTGTACCCTTTCAAAGCCAGAAAAGACACAATAATTAATCCGGAACAAAAACAAATGTGAATTCCTCAACGCTTTGTAACTAAGATACACAAGTGTTGCAGAAATCTTTTGTAAGTCCTCACTAATTTAATCAGTCATATTCTGTAGCTACCCTGTAAACTTAATTAAAATCACAAAACAAGAAAATAAGCATAATTCCTTGTTTATGGCAATTAAAAACCAAGTACCTTTACTTCCATGGTTTTCTTGAGTTGTAGACTTTTCAAATCAGAAAACATTATTTTCTCAGTACCAAGGGATATTTCTTTAGCAACCCCAAGTGGACAGTCACTCTGGTTTGAAGAAACACATAAAGGAGTTATTTACAAGCATGTATTTCTTTGGCACTGAAGCTACCAACTGGATTGCTGGATTTAGGGCCAGGAAAGCCTGATGCTTAAATGGGAGATCACAGGAATAGGGTAGGCCTCCGCACCTTCTAAAAGCCACTCTCCACAGACGCTGTGCATATTACTCGGGATCACCCAAGAATGCTTTAGGAGACAATGCTGATTTTAAGTAATGGGGAGAAGTCCACTTGCATTTTAAATTTTGCATGTGCATTGGTAATGCTCTCCTAAGAATGAGTACTTGAGGAATTCATTAAAGTAGAAGCTAGGAGTAGTTAGAGAAAGCTAAAAATATTTTATATGGGTTAAACACATGGGAAGTTTTTCAAATGTCAAAGGAATCAGCCCTAGAATCATCTAAATAGACAACTATTTTTAGGAACAAAAATGCTCCCGCATAGGAGTTAGCCCCCATAGAGTGTAACATAGGTATCTACAGCAGGGATGGCACAAAAGGGGTGCTTCAAGGTAAGACAAAGCTATTTTGCATGGAGACAGGGACATCTCAATACATTTTAGGAAAAAAATACTACAAGTAATTTTCAAAGATCCCCAATGAGACGTTCAGCCTATCACCAGTGCTTACACACACATAGCAAGCACTTACTGGGGAGCTGTGGAAATAACGATATTTTATTCCACTTAAGCCTTCTTAAGACAATGACTGAGAGCTATTTAAAAAGACTATCATACCTCATTTTTCACTTCAATGTTCTTTGTGTCAAAAGGTGATTTGTTATCTTCAAGTTTGTGCAAACTGAAATAAAATAACTTATTTTAATGCTCATGCTACAGTGGAAGTTAAGAGAAGGGTCTATAAACCCCAATTAGGTTCAAATATCTCCTGGACACAATTTAGACCCAGCAAGACCCTGTGGAGCATGGAAGGAACCACAGCAGTAGGAATAAAACCCTGACTATTGCCTGCCTGAGGGTGAGCAGGTGTGGGAGTTCCCCTCCCTTTCCCTTCTGATGATCCTTATGGTACCTACACAGAGTTTTGAGGATTAAGTGTAGTTATTCGGAACTGTCTCATGAACTGGTAAATGCTAAGGTAACAAAAAAACTCCTAAGATTTATGTATTTTTAAATTATAACTAGAGACACTGTGGGAGTTGTAAACATTAAAATTCAAGATAGTAAGACATTGTAAAATTCTACAAAACTCAATAAGGGTTCAAAAATCTGTCTTACCTAGTGAAATTATATTCCTAAAAACTAAATGTGCTTCAGACAGGTACCCTTGGATGTGGCTTAGTGAATAAGTGGAAAGTAACGACTCATATATACAAGTGTACTTCTGGCCAGCTGAACTGATTAAAATCTATCAGAAGGAAGATTCTCTATTCCCTAAAGGAATGGACAGAGCCATGGTCACTTACTTTTGCTGGACAGGCTTGCATACGATGCTGTGGGCAGACCAGTCTCTCCTCTGACATGCCGTGGAGCAGTAGTAGGTCTGCTTGCATTGAGAACACCTCAGCGACCCTGTAGGGCACAGGCCAGGACAGCACTAGTATGGAACACCTAGTGTGTGCTGCTGACATCCAAGCGCTGCCATGGACCAGGCAGACTCAGCATCATTCTACTCATCGCCTCAGGAAGGCTAGCTGAACACAACTGTGCTGTTAATGATTAGGTATTGGGCTTCAGCCATTAAAGGTGAAAATGAGAGGAGGGTCAGACTTAGAGACCTAAGTGACTTTCCTAAAATACAGCCAGGCTCACGCTACAAAAGGAAAAATGAAGACAAAATTGACCCCGTGACAAGCAGACTAAACTGGTGCCCAAATGTCACTAAATACCACCACTGCCACAAATGATGAGGAAAATTCCTATTAGCGTCTAGGCAGAAGAAAACAGATCATCTTAAAAAGCAGAAGAAAGAAAAGAAAGAATTAGAGGGAAAAAAGTGTGTGTGGGGGGGGGAAGGTCTTCAATGCCCTAACCCTAAAAGAAAATTGAAAAAATTTGAAAGCTAAATGTCCAAACAGCCAGAAAACACATGGAAAAACTGGCCAAGGTCATTGGTCATGAAGGAAGTGCAAATTAAAACCATTATACACCTATGAAAAGTATTACCACTAAAGAGACTAATGCTACCATATAGCGTGCCCTTGTCCAGGACATGGAAGAATCACAACTCATCGCCGTGGGGATGTGGAAGGGGATGGCCACTAAGAAAATGGTTTAGTGATTTATTATCAAATTAAATAAGAACCTTCCCTTGTCTTGGAAGTTCTACTCCTAGGCGTACACTCAAGAGAAATGAAAACCTATATCCACGCAAAGACTTGGAAAAAAAATGTTCAGAGCTCTACTCATCATAGGCCAAAGCTAGACATGATCAAACTATTCATCAACAAGAGACTGAAAACAAATTGCTAAAACATCATGCTGTACGTGGCAAATACACAACAATTTTATCTGCCACACCAAAAAAATAACAACATTGTAATAAAACCCTTGCTACTCAGTAGGATCCGAGGGGATCAGAGGATGGTGGTTCAAAGCCAGACTGGACAGGAAAATAAAGCCTGTGAAACTCTTATCTCCAACTAACCACAAGGAAAAAAAAGGACAGATATGAAAGCACTAGCCTTGAGTGAAAAAGCTCAGGGACAGCACCCAGGTCTTGAGTTCAAGCCCCAGTACTGGCACATAAATGAATAAATAAAATAATGATCTGTGCAAAATGGCAGCAGTGGTACTCACTAGAAACCATATTGAAAATAAATTATACAACTTGTGAGTGGGGTCAGAAAGAAAAAACTGGGAGAAGGAAGAAATGCACTGATTACCTGACTTATAAAAACTGTAAGCCCTCAATATATAACCTTTTTTCATAATTAAAAAATTTATCATTTAAAGTGACTAAGATTTACATAAATGAGCCTATACTATAGGATTCAATTCACATGAAATACTGATAGGCTAAATTAATCTGCAGTGAAAAAGGAAAACAGTGATTGCCTTGGGGGCTTATAGGGAAAACATTTTTCTGAGACAAATATTCTGTATTTTGATAGGGATATACTGTGAATTTCAGAGCACATTAGCTTTACCTTAGCCAGGCACTGGTGACGTATGCCTGTAATCCTAGCTGAGATATGAGGGTCATGGCTTGAAGCCAGCCTGGGCAGGAAAGTTTATCCCCAATTAATCACAGAAAAAGTACAAGTGGTGCTATGACACAAGTGGTAGAGCACTAGCCTTGAGTGAAAGGAGCTCAGGAACAACACTCAGGCTTGGAGTTCAAGTCCCAGAACTGAGGGAGTGAGGGGGAAGCTTTATCTTAAAAACACCAAAAAAACCCAAAAAACAAAAAAACCCACAAAGATTTGTGGAAGCAGGAAGAACAGAAGATATAAATACCAAAAGATATGAAAGGTAGATGCTGACGGTTAAATAGATGAATAGACGCATGACATACACACTCTCTTCTTTACATGTTATTTGACAGAAATTTGCTTTAATGAATGCATTTTTCAAATGTGTGGAAGAATAATCCCATGGACGTTTAGGATCAACAATATGCTTACCAAACAGGCCACAGCAATGGCAGGTTGTTGACCGCAAAGGAGGTCCTAAGGAGTTGAAGAGTGCTGGATCATTTATGGACAAGGAATTTTCAGCCAACTTGTACAATTTTTTTGACTTTGTAAGAGGTACGTCATCATCACTGGGCTTCAATTGGAAACAGAAAAAAGCACTTTTAGAACTTAGCAATAACTTCTTTTAAATATTACATTTCGGACTCCTCTTTGAGTAAAGAATAGGCATTGTTTTACTTATTATCCGTATTATGTGCAACAAAACCTCTAAACTCGAATATGAAATATATATATATATGTGTGTGTGTCTATATATACACATATATATATATATATTAAACTGTGAAAATGAGAAGTGGTGTCTACACTACAATTGATTTGGTAAAATGATAACACCAGTAAGTTTGAATATGTAATGTAAAATCCTTAACAAGATATACAAAGATATATACTGAAAAACATTGTAGACAAATCAAAATGGAATTACAAAATAACCCAAAGTAATTTAATTACAAGTTACCCACAAGGCAACAAGAAAAATAAAAGGAAATGAATCACAAATAGCAGACTAAACCTTCAGGCATCAATAACAGTATTAAATGTAAGTGGCATAAATATACTAAAGACAGACTGGTCAAATATATTGAAAGATATCATACCTAACTATTCCTGATGCATAAAAATTCATTTCAATCATAACTATATACGTAGGCTGGAAGTATAGAGATGGAAAATACCTCATGAATGTCAGTTAATAGAAAATAAGCTGTATTAATAACAAATGAAAGATTACAGAGGAGAGAAAATTAGCATAGAGAGACAAAAGGTCATTCAACAGGGAAACCAAGCAATATTAAATGTATATAGAGCAGACAACAAAGCAAACTATCAAGTAAAACTTGACTGAAAAGATCAATAGGCAATTAATCTGTAAGTACAGAAACCTCAAAGCTCTTCCAGAAACAATTATAACTAGACAAAAAATCACCAAAAACATCAAAGAACTTAACATCACCACCAATCAACAGGATCTATTAGTATGTACAAGACACTTTTAGGTGGTAATAGAATGCTCATTCTTTTCAACTGCCAACCGAACACGTATGAAGTTGATAACCTGAGTTACAAAACTCAAAGAGACTCAAGAGACTTAAAAGAACTGAAGGTCTGAAGCAAAAGGATAAGGCCCTGAATTCAATCTTCACTGTCAATCCCCACCCTTGCAAAAACAAAAAAATTCATACAGTCATAAATAAGGTGTTTCCCAATTACCTCCAACCACATTAGACAAACTTGAAATGAGTAGCAGAGGAATAATACATAGTCTCCCAGCACTATGAAATTAAGAATACACTCCTAAACAGTATGTTTGTCAAAAACAAAATCTCAAGTCAAAGACACATTCAACTGAAAGAAAACTTAAAATACATCAAAATTGTGAGACCTAGAGGAAACTTAAAGCATCAAATATATGAGAAAAGACAAAAACTCTCATATCAGTACTGTAACCTCTCATCTTCTTATAGTTTAGAACTTAATGTTTCCCACGTGTTAAAAGCTTGGTCTCCAGAGGGGTGTTACGGAGAAGATCTCATACTGGCAGCAGGTTCTCCACGGACACCACAGTATCCTGATCCCTTCCTCTCTTTGGCCATGAGCTGAGCTGTTTTGTTCTATCATTGCATTCCTTCTATTGTATGCTGCCTTTCAAGGAGCCCAAAGCCATGGGGACCATTAATCCCCACCTGGGACCTTCTTCCAAAACAGACCTCTTGTCTTTAGAAGTTAGTGTCTCAGGTATGTCCTGTAGTGCTAAGAAAGCAAACAAAAAAATCAAAAAGAAAGAAAAAAAACTGAACGAAACAGGATAAAGGGAAAATGAAGGAAATAATATAAATAAAAGAAATTTTAAAAAGACATGTAGAAAAAAAATCAGTGGAACAAAGATTTGCTTCTTTGAAAGTTCAAGAAAACCGACAGATAGTAGGAACATACTATGAAGACAAAAGACAGAAATGGTCAATTTCAAAACTGAAATCAATAGTACCCCATATTCTGCAGATACCAAAATGACTTATAATGCCCACTCTGAACAACTGTTCATACATAAGTTTGGCAATGTAGCCAAAACAGAACAATTCCTAAGAAAAGCTCTACAAATCATCATGATAGATGATAATCTGAATAGATTTATAAATATTAAAGAAAAATCTATCATGGTTTTAGAACTTGTCTCAAGAAATATCCAGGTCCAGATGGCAAGGGATCTAAAAAGATTCATAGAGCAAGTAACTTCTGCAAAGTCACAGAATACGGGATAAATATATACCCCATCATATTTCTGTATATTAGTGAACATAGGGACACATAAAAATTAAAATAACAGGTGAGTGTCAGTGGCTCAGGCCTGTAATTTTAACTATTCAGGAAGCTAAGATCTGAAGATCATGCTTCAAAGCTAGCCTGGGGAGGAAAAACTGTGAGACTCTTATCTCCAATGAGCCAGCAAAAAGCCAGAAGTAGAGGTGTTGCTCAAATGGTACAGTGCTAGCATAGATTAAAGCTCAGGGACAGTGTCCAGGCCATTTAAGTTCAAGCCCCAAGACCAGCACAAAAAGTATATATTATATATATATATATATATATATATATGAATAAATAAAATAAAATTATAATAAAAAATTCAACACTTAGTCATAAATCTAGCAAGAAATACACCATGTCTTTAAAAGCTTAAAACTTGTACAATGTGAAAAATCAAATATCTGCAAGAGCAGAGAGACACAGTATGTTCATGGATTGGAAGATCTAACACAGCAAGATGTCAATAATTGTCATACTGATATAGTGTTGGCATGCCTCAAGTGGTAGAGTGCAGGTGTGAAAGCCAAGTAAGTACACCAGGCCCTGAGTTCAAACCCCACAACTGGCACATACACAAAAAAGAACCATTACACACTTATAAGAATGGTAAAATAAAAATACAAGCACCACCAAATGCTGAGCAGGATACAGAAAAACTGGATCATTCATACATGCTTAAGAGTATAGGATGATAGTGACTGTAGAAAATAGATGGACAGTTTCTATAACCGAATCTATAGCTACTATATCACCCAAACTTTGGACCTACTCATACACATTTATCTTAGAGCAATAAAAACTTGGATATAGCCCAAAGCTGTAATCACACCAGATGTAAATCAGTGGGTGAATGGTTGGTTAATTGAGCTATCTATACCATGAAAAACTATTCAGCAAGCAATGAAGACAATACAACTACTGATTCAGACAACAACCTAGCTCCATCTACAGAGAGTTATCTGGAATTAAAAAACAAAAAGTTACTGTCTAACTATTTATAAAACAGTCTGGAAACTACAAAATGTTGGAAATTTGGATGTATTTGTGACTACTAGGCCTCAAGGTGGGTCGAGGAGGTGAGTATGACAGAAACCAGGCCCTTCGCACTGGTGGAAATGTTCTGAACCTTGGTTGTCAATATCTGGGTTGTGATCCTGTTTTGCAGTTCTGTGTCCTGTCAACATTAGGAGAAATTGGATAACGTGATGGGCACTGGTGGCTCATGCCTATAATCCTATAGATCTCAGGAGGCTGAGATCTAAGGATCATTATTCAAAGACGGCCTGGGCAAAAAAAAGTCCATGAGAATCTTAGCTCCAATTAACCATCAGAAAACCAGAAGTGAAGCTGTGACTCAAAATGGTACAGTGAAAACTCTGGGAAAGACCAGACCCTCAGTTCAAGCTCCGTGACCAACAACAATAAAAAAATTTTAAAAGGATAAACTACATGGGAATACTCTCTACTAAAAACAACTGCATGCAAACTACAATTGCTCAAAAGGCTTTTTGTTTACTTAACAAAAATAGTGAGATAAAGGAAATCTGAATATCTACAATTTTTTATTAACACAATAGAAGAATGCTGTTATCTTTTACTCAAAAAATGCAGAATAGAAAAAATTGTAACTTACAGGTTTTGCTTCTTTGGGTGGCGAATTATTTCCAAGACTTAATGGTAACACTGCATTTCCTAGGGAGGGATAAATAATAACTAAATAAATGCCAAATATTATTTTTCTACCCGTGGTAATACAACATAGCAACCATTCAGTGATAAGCAAGGTAAGCAACATTTTACTTTTCCTACTAGGAACTTGTAAAGGAAGACAAGATCAAGACAAGGTCTTACTTTGTAATCCAGTCTGATCACAACTCACAATCTTCCTCCTATGATTTTCCCAGCACTGGGATTGCAAGTGTGCACACCTAACTTGAAATTTTCTTGGTATTTTTCCTATCATTGTGAACTTTTCTCTATTAAGTAAGGTAGAAATCTCAGATTTTTTTGAGCTCATAACTCATTTACAATATAAAAATGATTGTGGACTCCAAAATTTTTTTACATATTGCTTATGCCTATCAAGAATTACTGTATTTAAGTTAAAATTTTAAATATTTATTCATTAAAATAAATGCATTCACCTGAGTGTAGCCTACTGAGTAGCTAGGATTATAGGTGTGAGCCACTGGTGCCAGCTCAGACATGTTGACAGCAAAGGCCTCAAGTTCTGGAAGCTCTTAAGCAAAAAGTGGCACAAATTCTAGTCTGTTTTATCACTGGGAACAAAATATTGTCAACTGTCTTCACTTTGTTAATTTTTGATGAATTATTTGACAGACATCTTGGTCTGAACAGTATTTGTTATCCTTGTCAAGCCCAAAGGATGTCTTCAGGAAACCAAAGTTTGTTTTTAGCTTACAACTCACCCAAACGCTTTTCATATTTCAGAAGTTAGAAGCAATTCTTACTTTCAATATACCAAATACTAAAAATATATGTCCACAAGGATCAAAGTTCAACATAAGGACAATTTAAAACTGTCATTTCTGGTTTAACTATAAGTGTATGGCAACGGAAACCTCACCTACCACTAGCCCAGGTTGGTGCCTGGCCCTGAGGTGAGCTATCGTGATAATGATCAATGTTAAAGGTAGCAATGCAGAGGAAAGAATAGCAAATGCTGTTTTGATAATTTAGGGGAAATGGTCTTGACCTTCTAAGGAGCCCTAGAAGAACAAGAACCCCACTTTCAGAATTACACTAACACAATGTTAAAAGATCATATCTCATTCAAAGAGGCTAAATTTCACCCCTTCCTTTAAAGACTAGTTTTGATCATTAGAACAAAGGGGATAATAAATCACATGAAACTGGACAGTATCTTTCAAAAATCTTGGAACTATGAACTGCGTAAAATTCACATGGTAGGTTTAAAACATGGCCAATAGTTAGAACATCTATAAGCAAACCAATCTTAGGACAGTTCTCTGATTGAAGGGGAATAAAAGCTCAACCACAGACATTCTCTCCTGAGGTGTCTTTTGAAACTCATCAAGCCAAATGCTTAGTATCTTGATTACCTTTGAAAAATAATAATTGCAAACATTCTAAGGTACTCACTGTTATCTGCTCTTTTATAATTCTGTGCATATATATTATTTGGACAAGTCAGAGAAACCATCACCGTCAAAAAGCAGAAAAATGATTTTCTCACCTGTTGGCAATATCTTCCTGTCTCCTTTGGATCCAACCACTTCTCCATTGATGCCAATAGGGCTTGAAGATACTGAATTGTCTTCCTGACTAGATAAATATTGTTTGGTTTGTTCACAAAGCAAAAAATTGTCTTTTTTATTCCCATTCTCTGGGCTTTTCAACCTGAAATTAGGATGGTTATGGTGTGCTCCAGGACTTCTTAGAGAATCATGTGTTGGAAGCTTGCTTTCATTTTTCTCAAAATTAAATGGCTCTGTCATCTTACAAGTAGACACTTCCAAACTATTTCTTGACATCATATTAGGCACTAATGTAACATCCATCAAGGTCTAAGGAAATAAAAATATTTTAAACAACTTTTAATTACAAAAGAACTTCTGTAGTTTAGTTCAAATATTATATAATGGATAGTTATAATAAATAATTCCAAAGCAGACCTAACCTTGACACCAAAATCTGGTCTACAAGATACCAGAACAATTCTCTTTGGATAAGTAAAAGCTCCAAGTTTAACAGAGTTCAACAAAAGACTAACCAAAAAAAAGGGGAAAAGGTCATTCAGAGACCCACACTTTCCTTACTTTCAAAAGCATTTCAAGCAGTAGGAACAGAAAAGGCCTTTTATATCTTAAAAAAAGATTTCCAATCTAATTTCACATTACTAGTGAAATACTAGTGTCTCATTTCAATCTGGTCCTACCTTTCTATTAGCTGGTAAGTCCTCTACTCTCTGCTACTTCATGCTCTACCTTGACTCTCCCATTTGCCTGATCAGCCAAGCAGCCTTCCCAATTCATCTGACTTTACCCTAATCCTCTCTGGTTTTCCCAAGCCCCTTATTCTGACAGTCTGTAACTGAATGCTCATAAATTTTAACTTGTACCTATTTCATAGGCATATTAGTATGTACCTTTTTCCAAAAATAAGTTATAGGCATATTACAAGCTTTCCACATTTCATCTGTTGAAAAGTATCTCAGAGAAACTTCTATCTAGAACTGGTGCTGGTCATACCTTTCCAACTGCTCTTAAAAATAATAATAATAATAAAGGAAATGCCACTGGCTGCCAGTAGCTTATACCTGTAATTCAAGCTGTTCAGGAGGCTGAGATCTGAGGATCCAGGTTTGAAGCCAGCCCAGGCAGTAAAGTCTTACCTCCAATTAATCACACACATACAGAGTCAGAAGTGAAGATGTGACTCAAGTGGTAGGAAGGACAGCACCCAGATCCCGAGTTCCAGCCCAGGACTGGCACCAAAAATAAAAGGAAGTTTCCTGTTTGAGAGGAATCACCCAGAGTGGACAAACTAGTCTTTTTTTGGGGAGGGGGTCCAGTCATGGGGCCTGAATCTGGGCCTGGGCACTGTCCTTCAGCTCTTCAGCTTAAGGCTAGCACTCTACCACTTGAGCCACAGCTCTACTTCTGGCTTTTCTCTTTTTGCTTATGTGGTGCTGAGGAATCAAACCCAGGGCCTCATGCATGCAAGGCAAGCACTCTACCACTGAGCTACCTTCCCAGTTCCAAACTACTACTCTTCTTTTTGACACAGTTATGATAATTTTGTCTGTAAGCTGCAGGAAAAACTTTGTCTACTTTCCCCAAAATTTCAGAGGAAACAAAAAGTCACAGTAAGCTGAAACTAGTAAGTAATACTTTAATGTTGACATGGTTTTGAACATAAATAAATACAAGAGCAATCTTCCCTCTTCCTCTGTCTTAAGTTAGGTCTGGTCTAACCCAACTGGACAATACATAAAAGAAAATGAAATTTTAAAAAGAAACACACAAGCCAAGCACGAGTGGCTCTTACCTGTAATCCTAGCTATGCAGGCTGAGATCTGAGTAGTGGTTCAAAGCCAGACTGGGCAGGAAAGTTTGTGAGACTCTTACCTCCAATTAGTCACCAAAAAAGCCAGAAGTAGAGTTGAGGCTCAAGTGGTAGAGTGCTAGTCTTGAGCTTTTCGGGGATAGTGCCTAGAATTCAAGTCCCAGTACTAGCGCGCGCGCACACACACGTACATTCAAAGGTGGGCAATCTCAGTGCACCAGATTCTAGGAAGATTCCCTAACTGTAGGACCTCAGAGCCGCAGGTAGGCAGCTATCATGGGAGATCTACATCTGCCAGGAAAAGTATACTTGTATCAACAAGTCTGCCTAAAATCGAGGAATAGATATATTCACTGAGAAATAAATCAGATTACAAAAGGAAATGCTCCCCTCCCAGGGGAATTGGTAGTGGGGAAGGGGGGTAAGAAATATGTACATTGAGTAATTCTAGAGTCTGCATAAGAGCTATGAAGAAGTCACATTATGAAATATTAGAGTAACTACCAGAAGAATAGCTACAGAATGTATATGATTAAAATCAAAGAAAAAATCTTAAACAGGAAAAACATCTAAACACTGGCATTCCAAAGCATCAATAAGATAACTGAAGCAAGCTCCAGTAATATATCAAGGAATTCACCTTTGTTATGCACAAACGGCACATATAAAACCAAACTTCTATAGTAAGGTTGACAATAAAAGGACTAAAATATAGAGCGCTGGTGGTTCATGCCTGTAATCCTAGCTACTCAGGAGGCTGAGATCTGAGGACCGCAGTTCAAAGCCAGCCCATCAGGAAAGTCTGTAAGACTTTTATCTCCAATAAACCACTCAGAAAACTGGAAGTGGCACTGTGGCTCAAGTGGTAGAGCACTAGCCTTGAGCTGAAGAGCTGAGAGACAGCATTCAGGCCCAGAGTTCAAGGCCCAAGACCAACAATAACAACAACAAAAAGGACTAAAATATGCAGATATGCATGTTTTATGATACGCCAGTAACAAGCAGATAAACAAAATAATGGTGAAATGTTAATATTAAGAGCAGATAAAATGGAACACCGGTAAAAAATCCTGAGACAAAAAATAAATAAGATAGAATTAATCCTCTAAGGAAAGACAGAGTAGCCCGGAATCTTTGTGTTATAACAATGCTTCTTTGATATATAAGAAGCAAAAAAACTGCTGATTAATTCAACTGACAATGATAAGCCCAGATGTGCCTCAATGAAAGCAATAGGGAATATTTTAGAAACATAATAAATCTGATCTAATAGGGATGACCAATTCAACTATAAGACTACATTATCTCCAAACAAACACACAGACACACAAACCCCTACTATCTAAAGCCCAGATTTACTTTTAACCATATGCACAAACTGGGCAAAGAGATTTTGTTGTTGCTATTTGAAAACAGTAAAATGCCACAAAGGAAATAACAGCAAACACACCTACACAAAAAATTAAAAAACTGAAAAGGCTGCAAAGTAAGTATCAAAACAAAGATGACAATTTTGATACCTTTGCAAAAGTGGGATAAGTAGGTATTCAAATACTGCATAGATGCTGTAAATATGCAAGGTTAGTCCACAAGACATCATGACCCTTGCCTGCAGCAATACTTGTTAGTCTCCTTACCTGAAATGTTAAGAGTCTACAGCCTGAGATCATGTAGTATCATTTATTTGGCAGTACTGGGGAAAGAGACATGTCCCAAATCCTTTTGCTTTTTTGTTTTTCAAACAGTCTTTGCTTTTAATCAGCCAACCTCAGATGTATTGTGCTACTTCTGCTTCCGCAGTAACTGAGATTACAGCCATATGTACCATCAAGCCTAGCTCCCACTCAGTCTTAAAACAAGCAACATTTCCCCCATATGTAACTATTTCATAGGGTCCTGGTAATAAAAATATATCGAATCATCCTACAATTTATAGTAACTGGTCATTAGTTATGTTTCCTTAGCTAAGCCAAGAGGTTAATTCAGAGGTCCCTGAAGGTCTATGTTAAAAACATCCTTGGATCCTTTCAGAGTTGGGAATCAAATGTAGTAGTGAGAAAACAGGAGACAGGAACTCAACAATTTCTATGGTCCTGCTGATAAAAGTAAGGCCTCTAATTTGCTTTGTTTTCAAGCTCTAACCTCAATAACAAGGGAACCTTCCTAAGGACAGATGCTCTCTTTTTACTGGCTTAAATTCTAACTTCCCCCCTCTTACATGCTACTAGAAGCATCCTCGGGCAGGCTATCCAGTGAGCCAGGCCCTTTTTTCCCTCCAGGAGACCAGAGTAGAGTAAATCCCTAGTGAGTTAATTCTTTCAATAACCAAGTGCACTCAGAGATACCCAGCTGTAAGCTTTTCCTCCTCCGATGTTTACTTTTGCCTTCCTGGAAAGGAAATGCATTCAGGGAGAACCATACTACCCAAAGGAAACATCACACTAAAGCTACAAAATTCAATGGTTCAGTAGAGCATGAGCTTTGAAGTCAGATCCAAGGCCTGCTTCCCTCATTTAGCCTATTGGACAAATACCTTATCTTTCTAAGATTTGATGAATGCAATATGTGAACTGCAGTAGTCACTTTCTCATAAATGCTCATGAGGATTAAATGATTGGACAGACCTACCTAATCTCACTTAGCACAGTGACTGCTTCCATTATTCCCACACCACACGCCCAGGCTAGGAATCCAGCCAGGTTCTGGTGCAACCAGAACCTTTACTCTCACACCTGCACTGACATTCAAAAAGTTTCCTCTTTTCCTGAGGAACTAACCTGTACATTAAAACCGGAAATAGAATCTAAGGATTCAAGTTCCGATTTGTAAAAAGGAGTAAGAGGCAATTACCGGAGGAACTTGCTACCTCTCCAGACCCACCGCCCTTACTCAGCTGAAGAGGGGAATCCAGGTTTACAGCCCTAGCTGTGCAATCCTCACAGCTGGTTCTTAAGCAGTGAACTGAAGGCACCTGGCTCTTAACTCCAGAGACCCTCCAGGCAGGTATTTGTAATGTGGGCCCTAGAAAAGCCCAGAACCAAGAAAAGTGATTGGTATACAGCGGGTACATCAACACCTGCGAAAAGCTACTCTGGCTCACTCAAACTTAAGTGGATGCACCTTCCTCTCCTATAGGAGGTAGGAAGTATCAGAGCAAGAAAGTTCTAGGTTTAGTAGTTTGCACCCAAGCTTTGAGTTTTAAAAAAGAGAAGGAAAAAAAAAACAAAAAAAAGACAAGGCCATGATCCCACACACAAGCTTTCAAGAGTAAAGGAGAACACTTCCGTATGGGGTAGTTGTATTGTCCCCACCTCTGGTCCTCAGCCCCACCCGGACCTGGGGTCCTCCCGGGCCCCAGAGTTCCCGCCACACAGCTGGCCACTTCCTCTCCCCGCCCAGACCCACCTGGCACGCGCCTTCCTCCCTGCCGACCTCACTTCCTCCCCCCAGACCTACAGGCCACCTGGCT